GTTGTTTCTCTCCTGCCTGTGCCTGATGGCAGAGGCTGGAAGCATGGACTGGAGCAGTGTCCTGCATCCATACACACACTGCTCCCAGAACCCAGGAGGAAAGCAAAGCCTTGGACTTGGAAACCCCTTGGAACAGTGGCTGGATGGGTTTTATCTGGGCATTTCTAGTTTAGCTCAGTTGGCCCAGGAGGTGGAAAATTCGATTTTCTGTTTTGACTTCTCCTGAGTGGTTCATCCTCTGAGGAGCTGGGCAGGAGCTGGATGTGCTCCACAAAGGAAACCCAGCCCTGGCAGGACTCTGGGGAAGGGACAGCATTGGTGTGGCTCAGTCCTTCAGCTGAACATCAGCTGCATTTCACCAAGAACCCAAACAAAACTCTTTCAGGGATTTCAGTGACCCTTCCACGCACAAGGGACTATGGGATGTCCCCTGTGTCCTGCACTGGCTGAAGCTGAGATCCCCCACCCTAAAGGCAATTTTCCTGTGCCCTGGCATAGCCCAGATGTATTCACCTCATCCCAGGGCTCCTTCCCCTCTCCCTGCTCTGGCTCTGGGGGAGGTGATGGGGTTTTGTTCTCCACCACACATTTCTTGGCTTTTGTGGAGATCACTGGGGACTCCTTTGATGTCCACTCATCCCTTGCAAGCCAAGGAAGGTCAGACACAGAATTTCCTTTGAATTTAAACCAAAATCTGAAGAGGTGGCCTGACTACAGAGTAGGGCAATGGGCATCATTCAGGGCTGTGGAGCTGCTCCTGCCTGGTAACAAACTGAGGGGTGAGCAGTACCCTGCACCCCTTTTGTTCCAGTCCTTCCCTGGAGAGGGGGAATTCACAGCAGCCTGAGTTTCTGTGCCTGCTGCGGAGGTTATTTCCAGCCCTTAATCCTGCTTTTCTTACAGATACAACACAAGCTTGGGGGATCAAGGACTCTACGAGGGAATGCAACTTCAGTTGGCTGGAGCAGCTGGAACCCAAAGCAATATTTGCTGGAAGAGCCTTGAGGGAGCACAAGAGAGAAACTTTGGGATAAAGAAGAAAGGCAAAGTGGTGAAGGAGCTTATTCATCCCACTTTTGAATGAACTCGTGCTTCAGTACTCTCCTCACTCCCCAGGTGGTGGCCAGAGCCCGCTGGCTGCTCCAAAAGGGCTCAGCAGGAGCCCTGGAGGACACAGAGGAGTTGGACAAGGCTGAGGATGAAACACAGTCTGCTTGCCCAGAAATAGATTGGAGGGCGTTGTTTATGTTTTGTTCTGAGACTGCTTTGCACTCCAGCCTGGAATAACTCTTTTCTCCCACATCTCTCCTCCTTGGCTGGCTCAGATTTTCAGCCACCAGCTGTTTGCTAGGATTGTTCCTTCTCCTTGCTCCCTCCCTTCCAAATTCTTCACGACATTATTTTCTCGAAGCTTTTCTCAGTAAGAATTTAATCAAACAAAACAAAACCACAGCAACCCGCCGCTCTTGGACAGTGTTTGATGTGTAAATATGTAAAGAAGGAGTGTTTAGAAAATGCAATCAGCTACCTCCTGGGGACCTGAGTCCTACAAGGAGCCAAGGTGACTCCACATGGAGATATGTGCTCCTGCAAGAATAAATTCCAGCTGCAGTGGGAACAGGGGTGACCAGAGGCACAGCTAAGCCACTTCTCACAGAGGCATTTTTGGAATAGCTGCACGATTCTGCTCCAGGCCAGGCAGTTCCTTGCTGGATCTTTTTCTCTCAGTTCCCACCCTGCAGCTCTGGAGTTATTTGCCCATTTTGCTCTCTCTCCACTTGATCCCTCTGCAGGTGCTCCTCAGTTGTGTCACCAAATCAAGCTTTGGGAAATATCTCCTAATGTTTGACTCATTCCTATGGAGTGAAACACCCTGTGCCTACAGTGGGGCAGAACTCTGGGATTTCTCCCAGTTAAACACCCAGGAGGTGACTCCAAGGAAAGCTGCAGCAGTGCAGGTCAGGAGAGACACTGCCCACAGGGCCCAGGCAGGGCACTTCTGATCCTGTTCTCATCCTGCCTGAAGGGTTCTCCTCTGCTGCCATTATCAGTGAATACAACACACTGCCAAAATTCATGCAGAACAATCTGAGGGTCGAGCCCTGCTGCTGTTTATACTTTGTTTGTGCAAAACAATTCACAACAATTTTAACTTGAAACTTCCTCTGCACCCAGCCCAAAAATGCAGCTGATGGCTTTGTCACAGCACGCTGAGTGCCAGCTGAGTACCTGGGGCACACAAAAGATGGATTGTTGAGAAGAGACTCTCAGGAGAGGGGGCTGTGTCATTACTGATCATTTCTGCACTGCAGTGTCCCCTTGCAGCAATAGAAACCATTCCAATGGCATTTCTCTCCTCATTCCAAAGTCTGCTTACGTAATTTCCCCTCTTCTCTTCAACTGTGTGGATCAGAACTCACTCCCTTTCTTAGATCCACCTCTGAAGTGAAAGGCTGGCCCTGGATTAGGGGAGCAATGCTGTTATTCAAACAGAAGTTGCTCTTCACTCTCAGGGTAGGTGGTTATTACTCAGCAGGAGGTTTATCAGGTGCAGGCTCCACCTTTTAGACACCATGCAAAACTGACACTCCACCCACTGCGTCCACTTGAAGCCCAAGAGGATTTTTCCATCAGCTCCACTAATCCCTGTGTTCAAATCCCAGCTTCAGTAATTGCAGGCTGCCTCTGGTTCTGAGCAGAGACATTAATCACACCTCCAGCTCAGAGGTGGTTTCTTTCAGATAATCCCTGCAGAAAGGGGCTACAAAGTGTGTTTTGGTCTCCTTCTCTTGCCTCAGAGCCTGCTGAAACTCCAAGCAATTCAATCTATTCAGGTGTGATACCCAGGTATCAGTCATGATGGCTGGAGATAAAGTGCCAGGTTATTTGTGGAGAGTTAAGGGAAAAATTCTAATCTGCTTTCAGTTTGAGGCTTCTGAGTGTACTTGAAAGGAAATCCCAGATCTGAAAAAGCAGCTCCTGAAAAAGCTGTCCCTGCCCTCTGATGGGAAGCACAAGAGAAAGGGCAGTTTGGAGCAGCTTCAAGAGCCCATTTTGCCCTTTTTGGGCTTTACCCACATGAATCCCAGTAAAACCAGTCTCTCCCGGGCTGAGGGCTTCACACAGAGCACATCAGGGTGGTGCTGCAGGGAAGAGCCTGGCAGGGATGGCAGGATTCCCTGGTGCTGCAGGGATGAGAGAATTCCCTGGTGCTGCAGGGATGGCAGAATTCCCTGAGTGCTGGGTGCCAATCCTGCTGCAGCCAAGCAAACCCTCCCTGTCTGCAGCCCAGCTTTCACCCACGGCACCCTGGGCAGGTTTTTCCTTGTTCTGCTCTCATTCCCTGGCTTCCTGTCACCAGAAAAGGGACACTTGCTCTGTGGTTTTCCTGTGCATCACCATGGGACAGCTGGGGACACCCCTACAGTGAGAAATGGGGGGGTTGCAATTAAATAATTATTGCTGATGAAGCCCTTGCTGGGCTGATCCCTGGAAAAGCTGAGGATGAGCAGCACTGTGTGAGGGTGGGATGCCCCAAGCTTGGACAAACCATGGACATGAAAAGCTTGTGCAGGAGTGGTTTGATCCTGAAATAGCCTCTTGCTGACAGAAAAAGGCTCTGTTTGTTTTTGGTTGCCTGTTTGGGGAACGGCAGCTCCTCGAGGAAACGCTCCCTTGTGCACGCAAACACCAATATTTACCTTGACAAGATAGTTTATTATCATTCTTCATTTCTCTTCCTTTCAACGTTTCCGTTCTCTGAAGAGGCAAAACCATTGTGTGCAAAAACAATCTCAAGTGGACAAATTATGCAGCTTAACACGTTCCTCCTACTCAGCTGAGCTGCAGGACCTGACCATGAGCATGTTCTTGGCTCCCTCTCCTCCTAAATCACACATTAACTTATGTCTTATTTCAGGTTTTTAAGCTATCATATCTTACTTAACATTTTTAATAGGTCAGATGTACCTAAGTGACAAGTTCTCTATTTTTTTGGCATTGTTCCTTTCTGAAAGGTGAAATGAGAAAAACACAACTGCTGGAAGCAACAATACATAAGTATATAAAAATTGGACAATTGAGAATAGTTTTAGGTGTAAAGAGGGCAAGGAGAGAAGAATTCACTCCAGAAAAGAGAGCAAACCTGTCTCAGTAACTACTCACTGCCCAAGTGGAAAATACAAAGGGAAAGCAGAGCTAACTTTTGTTGAACTCCTACTTGGCCTCAGAATTCAATCTCTGTTGCCAAATTCAATGGATTAAAAGAGGCAGGGGATGTGCAAAGAGACAATGTGGCTCTGCCCTGCATTATCCACCCAGGGAGGCTAATAAATATTGTTCCAGTATCTATTTTCCCTCTATGGCAAGTGAACCTGCTTCAGTGCACACCACAGTTTTCTCCAAATTCCCCTGAAAAAGAACCTGTCCCTCAAATGCTGCCAGCAGAGAAGTGGCAGAACAGAAAATGCAGATTTAGAGAATGGATCTGGAGCAGGATGATGGACAGACATAAAAGCCAGGGCAGCTCCTCCAGTTCCTTCCGTCAGCCCCACTGGGACCCTTCCTGTCCCAGCAGATGTTCTCCAGTGCTTTGCCCAAGCTGCTTTGAAATCTCAAGGGATAAAACTTCCAGCTCTTCTCTTGGGAAACTCTGCCCCCAGTTCTAAGACCTCTCTACTCAATATCCTCCCAAGCTCCTATAAAAATGTGATGTTTGTGGCCTTTCAGGCATTCCCACCTGCCTGTGTGGAGCCACTGTCCCAGCACTCAGTGCTGTGGGAGGTGCAGTGTCCCAGGGGAAGGGACTTGCATGAGCCAGGGTCACACCAGCTCCTCAGAGCAGCTGAAATGAGGGGTTCAGTGCTTCCTGAGGGGGTGGTGATCTCTGGGCAGTGCTAAACCCTGGGAAGTGCCACCCATTCCTGCTGACTGGCACAGTAAGATCACACAAAACAGGATAACTAACCCAGCAGAAGGAATTATACACAACAAGTCCTTACCTGTCACCACCAGCTGCATGGTGAGGTTCTTGTAGAGGCCGTACTTGGGGTTGCTCAGGACCATGGTGTAGTTCCCAGCATGTTTTGGTCTCACATCTCGTATTCCCAGTCTGTATTTCAGTGGATCTGGCTCATAGCAGGTGTGGTTGTCCTTGATCAGTTTGCCATCCTTGTACCTGTGTGGGAAGTTCCATCAAGGCTTGTCATGTCCCTGTGAACCCTCAAACACCCTGTCACCCACATTAGGGGGCTAAAGGGTCATCCCAGCAAGGGAAATGCAGGTCTAGAATCACTGCTTGGATTGGATATTTATTCCTGTTACCCTTCCACACCAGAACTGATTCTTATCTCCAGTGCTGTGGGATGGATTCATTCCACACAGGAAAAAGGTGGTTTTATTTTATCTGAATTAACAGTGCCTCTCACATGCTCAACTATGGTCTAAATGCCCCCAGATGAAGCTGGATGGGCAACAGCACGTGTGGGAAATCATGGAATAGCAAAATGTGTGTCACCAGCTTTAAAGGAAGAGATGAATTCAGCAGAATTATCTCTCAGGATGTCTCTGTGAGCCTTTACTGCTTCTGAAAAATTTAAACTCTGTGACCTGGAGAAGGTTGGTCCACAGGGAGGTCAGTGAGGAATTGCCAGCCTGGAATATTCCCTCAGGGCAGGAGAGCAGCATCTGCAGGAGAGGCCCCTCTCCACTGCTCCCCCCACACGTGGGGTTATGGTTAGGAAACAGGCCAGGCTTTGCCACACATGGAGCTTTGGGCCTGGTGGAAGGATGCTGGGGCATCTCCCACTGCCTGAGAATGCTGGAAACTTCCTCTGCAGTCATAAAAACAACCATCCTGAGAGACCTCCAACATCAACAGCTGGGGCTCCAGGGGAAGGCAGCTCTGGTGGTCCCAGGCAGCCACCAAAGAGCCCCACACTGAGCCCAGGAACAAAGGCTTGGCAGAGAGAGGGTCAGTCCCCACTTCAGCTCCCAAAACATCCCCATCCCGAAATAACAGCAGCAATTAAAAACACCTCCTGGCACTGCTTCCACTAAAATTAGAGGATTTCATGTTATTTCAGTGCTAATAAAATGCAGCAAGGCCAGCCCTGAGCATCCTTTTGCTGCCTGCCAGGCTCTCAGCTGGCTGAAGGCAGGTGCTCCAGGGAAATGCCATCTTCCCTGCCAGGACAGGCACGCCCCTGCCAGCTGTCCCATGGGATTTAATGCAGTTAAAGATGGAAAAGGCACTGTATGGGGTCGTTAAAGACAGAGCAGGAGAGAGGACAAGTGATGAAAGGGTAAAGAGAGACTTGAATATCTCCTGGAGCTGCTGTTGGTTGCCCCTCCTGTTTAGCAGATCCATTGCACTCCTGGTGCAGCCTTTAGTTTGCTCAGGAGATTCACTACAAGGATCTGTCGGCACAGGATTGGAGGACATTATTTAAAAGTTCTGGAGAGAAACAATTTCTTATGTTAAAATATGTCCTTTTGCTGTTATCCCCTGCCCCCTTGCAGACTGACCACCACTGCTGGGGGTAAGCAGGAAACCCTTCCCCAAGAGCTTTCTCCTTGGATCTCCCAAATCATTCTGTGTCCAGGGAAAGGGAAACACAATTTTTTCCTTGGAGGGGTAGGAGAAGAACACAGCCTGGGTGTGGGAAATGGAAAGACAGAAACTTCCAGAGACACTGAGGGGTTTGATCTGCAGCCTTAGAAGAAAGCTGGATTGATGTAAAAATAATGTACACAACATTAAGCAGAAAAACTATAAACTTATGTTTTTATAGTTCTAAGTAAGAATATGCCTTAAGTAAGTAAGAAAATGTATTGATAAAATGGTGAAGGGTTTATAGTGTAGTAATGTAAATGTATAGACTAAGCTGAGAGTTTAGATGTTATAACAGAAGCATATGTGTGCATGTGTGACAGTGGCCCATTGGATAAAAGTATTCACAGTGCAGCAGAAGCAAAGGTGATAGGTCAGAAAAGCAAAATAAACTTTGTGACGACTGTCCATTGGATCAGAAAGTTCTGTATTGTCTTGTAACAAAGAACTTGTGACTACTTTGACCCATGGCTGACTGTGTGCTCTTTTAAATCTCGTGGCCTTTGAGACTGATGTTTATCTGAGCAATAAATTGTTCTTAGCTCAACTTAGCCCATCGCTTCAATTAAAGCAGTGATAATAATTCCTGGGAATGAGGGGTGGCTGGCCCAGCCTCCCAGAGCTCAGGAGCCCAGAGTGGAGCCACAACTCCTCAGCTGAGCTCAGCCCTCAGCTCTGAGCCCATCCCTGACCGTGTGGTGAGTGAGGAATGGTGGTGATCTGTTCCAGACAGGATTCCTAAAGGAGCCCAGGCATTCCAGCTGTTGCTGGGGCACTCACCAGGTGACAGTGGGCCGAGGAAAGGCGTCCACCTTGGCAGCCAGCTTCAGGGACTTGTGTCCTGAGGTGATCTCATAGTAAGGCCCTTTCTTGTGTGAGACCGTGATGTAGGGTTTTTCTGGGGAGAGAAATGAGCAGGGAGACTTGGAATGGCAGCTCTGGCACAGCACAGAGCTCACACCTGGGATTGCTCTGTTCCCACCTGGGATTTTGTCCAATACAGACCTGCACAGAACCAAATGGATCAGGCTGTTCCCTCAGCTCCCTGTGCAGCCCAGCCTCAGCCAGGAAGGGCTGTTCCCACATGGAGGAATTCACATGGAAAGCAGGGGATATGCCCTTGCATTGCCCCTGGGGCATCTCTTGTCCATGTGGAGCCCACAGGATGGATTTTCCAGGGTCTCAGCAACCACACTTGGTGCCAGCTTTTTCAAACAGTTCAGCTCCCTCAGACATCACAGAATCCCAGAATGGTTTGGGTTGAGAGGGACCTTAAAGCCCATCCAGTGCCACCCCTGCCATGACAGGGACAGCACCCACTATCCCAAAGCTGCTCCAAATCCTGTCCAACCTGGCCTGGGAAACTTCCAGGGATCCAGGGGCAGCCACAGCTGCTCTGGGCACCCTGTGCCAGGGCCTCTCCACCCTCCCAGGATTGACATTCCTTCCCAATATCCCATCTAAATGTACCTCTTGAATTTGTTTGAAGACATGGGAGCTGACTCTCATTGACTAATTAGAGGTTTTAGATGATTAAGGTTGACTTTCTCCCTAGTGCCATTTCAATCAACAGATTTTAGAGCCTGGCATTGTCCTCTAAGCTGAGCACTGCTGGTTCCTGGTCCATCCTGGTTTGGCTGCAGCACTCACCATACACGGTGACAGTGACATTGGCCTCCAGCCTGGTGGCATTGAATGTCCTGCAGATGTACAGGCCCCCATCTTCCATGGTGACATTTTCAATTACCAGGCTGCTGCCAGCTTTGTACACCACATCACTCTGGTCCATTGTTCTCCTGGGGTGGGGGTGCTGGGAGACACAAAAAACAGGGTCAGAAAGCAGAGTAAACTGGATGATTATGCTCACCCTTTCCAAGGCTGCCAGTAAAGGAAAGCAGTGATTCGTATCAAAACCATCACATCTCCCCATCACTGAAATAAATAATATAAAAGGCAGATCAGCAGGATGAGCTCTTGTGTGAAGTTTCATTATCAAGTCTAATAAGAGAGAGAAGCAGAGTGGAAATGTGGCACTTTGTACTGAATTCTGGGCAGGTAAACAAGGAGATGCCTCCCAGCCCTTCTCCAGGACCAAATCCCAAGGATCTCAGGGTAAAACTGCTGCAGGGTCAGAGCTGTGCTCTGAGGGTTTGGTTTTGAGGGTTTTTAAATTTATGTTGGTCACAGTCAGTATTTTTTCTGTATTAAAAACCTCCTGCTTTCTAAAAGAAATATATTATGACAGAAATACAATATATTATGACAGCCAAGTGCCAATGCAAATTCCTGGGGAATTTTAGAAAGCATTATTGCTTTCGATAGGATTTTTGATCCCAGAGATTTGGCCAAGAAGTTTTACATTTATAATGTTAGAAATATAAGGAGAGTTCATAGGAAAACTAATCTTTTCCACCATATGGGGTTCAAGAAACCAAATTCATTCAGTAACACTGTAGTGCCTGGACCTCCATAAATTTTATATTTTCTGTAGTTTTCTCACTCAAACTCAGAAACAAACTCAGACATTCTTATTTTTAAGGAAACAAATCAAAATTAATCAATTTTTAGGAATCACATTTTACACCTTCCCAAAAGGCTTAGATGTTTCTTTACAATGCATATTTTGCTGAACTAAAAAGAAAAAAAAAACAATTATTTTAATTCTTGGCACCAAACAGACCCAAGAATAAAATCTCAGACAAATGAACTGATCTGGGAAATGATCCCCCTCTATTTTGTTTTTTTAGGAGAAGTGAGAGGGTTTGGTACCTGAAATGTTAATTCTCTTACTTATTTCTACTTCAAATTTGGCACTTTTGTATTGTATCCACAGAAAGCTCATGACTCAGAATTTACATTTCATTCTTTGGGGATGATTTCCACAGGTTCAGCTGTGTTTTCCTTTGCTTTTTCCTACTACATAAATACCAAAATAGATGAGGAGATTGACAGCTTACAACCTGCATTTGAGACTTGTCACTGTGAGACAGCCAGGACAGAAGGAATGAAGGAGTTTTTCTTCCCAAAAAGAAGGAAACATGCCTGGCTTTTCTTGCCAGGGTTTATTTAGTGAGGTTTGCAGTTTAATCTGCAGGTTCAAGTAGGGCTGAGAAGTTTGAGATTCATCCAAACACAAAGTTCAATCAATGATAGGCTTATAAATGGTTGGGTAATTTCAGAAGAAGTAATAATGAGGTTTTCTCATCCCTGTGAATTTTGGGAAGAGGGGGAATGCAGGGATTCCATGCACTCACTGTGCCACGGGGACACGTCCAGATGAACTCGATGCGCCCGTTGATGAAGGTCTCTGCTTTGCACTCCAGCTTGAGAGTTTCTCCAACCAGCAGCTTTCTGGCACTTGCCTTCAGAGCCAGGTTCTGTATTCTGCCCTCTGCAATGGGAGAGGCAAAGCTGTGAGCAGCAGCACTCCCTGCATCAGTCTGGATCCACCACTGGATCCCTGCTGCCATGGACACAGTCAGGAATGGCTGCCCTGCCATGTGCCATGGCTCCAACCCTCTCATCAGCTCCACAGAAAAGAGTTACAAAGGTGGCAAAGGACTCAAAATGACAGGATCCTCTTTTGCTGGACATGAGACCTGTTACTCCTGCCCTCTCCTGCCCAGCTCCCTTTCCTTCCTGAATGGGAAATCCCAAATCCTTGAAAGGGATCTCCAAATCCTTGAATGGGATCCACAAATTCCCCAATAGGATCCCCAAATCCTTGAATGGGATCACCAAATCCCCCAATAGGATCCTCAAGTCTTGCTCTTACACCTTTGTCAATGCCTTAAATACATCAGCTCTGAACTTCCATCAGTTTTTGATGCTAATACCAAAACCACACCTGGGCACTGACAGTCACACACGACAGAAAGGGATTTCCTGGGTCCTTCTGAGATGCAGAGGGATGGCCTAAGAGATTTTGTAGGTTTGCATCCATTAGTTTAATAAAAAATTACTCCAACAAGGAATAAAAAGGAGAAAGAGAGAGATTTACAGGACTTTTATTTGGCTGCCACAAAATTAACAAGCCTGTTGTTCAAAGCTGAGTGCTGATTGTGTAGAAAGATGCTGTAAGCTAGTGGGAATGAAGTCCAAGTAAACAGAAGATATATGAGGAGATAAAGAACATACATGGAAAACAAAAGGAAAATAAATTCTAATTGGTTTCATATAAATGCCCAGCACTCAAAAAATTTAATGTTTAGTTGCTTCAAATTCAGATTTTAATTATGAGATGAAGCTCAGCTGTAAATCCAAGGGAAATGGTGTAGTAAATCACCAAGAGAAAATCTATAAAAAGCAAAGATGTGAATTAGCAGTGTAGTGAGGTTTTTATACGATGATCGCACGTGGTTAATGACCAGAAGCAAAAAGAAAGCTGCTGTTTGCTTTGTCCCGAACCAGCAGTTGTTTTAATGTAAATACAGCTCAATCCAAGCAAACAAAGCCTTGGTGGGGTTTGAATAAAACACTCCTGTTTTGTACTACCACCTCAGCACTTGGTCATTTTTCAAAACCAGGAGTGGCTCCAATCCAAGTTCTATTGAATAGGGAGAAAAAAAGGAAGAAGGAGTTTACTTTTAGCATTCCAGCTTGGACTTGCCACAGATGCAGCCCAGGGAGATGTATCAGACAGAGCTGAGGCTGAGCAGGGAGTGACAGCCAGGAGCTGCCAGGGACACTGAGGCACTCACCCAGTCTCTGGGCCATGTAGTAGGAGTTGAAGATGCTGCCATTGACGTGGGCTGAGCATGTGAGCATCCCAGAGGGCACAAAGGAGTGGGAGGGGATGACAAAGCCTCTCCTGGGGTCCCACACCATCTTCTTGAAGTTGATCTCTGCAGAAGAAGGGTACTGCAAAGGAACAGACAAGGAGTGAGAATCCTGTTCCCCTTGGATTGCTCTGCCTTAGGGGCAGGGCAGGGCTTTGGGGTCTCTGTCCACACAGATCTGCAGCAGCAAACAGGAAAGCCCTCCCTAAGGCAGGAGTGCCTCTGAAACTCAGCACTTGGGCAGCCACTTCAGGAGTCCCAGTGCTCTCAGATCTCATGTGTGGAACTCATTTCCCTCATCCCTTCTTTGGAAATCCTTATGCCCATCTTATGTGAGTTTTGTGGGGTGATCT